ATTTTGGGTGCGCACGAGGCTGGCCTGCCGGCTGCCTGACCGGCCCGGATCTGCCAGTTTACCCTTTAGCATAGACTCCTGTGAGATGAGCGCTCCTTTCTCGGTGAGTTAGCGTCGGATTAGATTCGGAGGTTTCAAGTAGATACCAAGTGGAACGAATTGTGTTTTCCTTATGCGCGCTGCAGAGCTGGACTGGAGCAAGGCTCCAGGCTTTGGCGGCATCCAGCCCGGTGCCCAGCTCGGGGCCCAACAGATCGCAGGTCATAGGATTGCTTCACGGCACAGAGACCTCCCCAAGCTAGGTACCCCTCAGATAACCCAGAATCCAGCTTACCCAGCCGTGGGTCCTCTATTTAACAAAGGCAGCAGAGACCCGGCTGGAGAGAAGGCAAGGTTACCCGGGCCAATTTGTCCTTTTTTTCCCCCGAAGGGCCGAGTGGCCTGTTAGGCAGAGAAATGCTGATCTAGGCGGCCGTGGCTGGCTGCCGGCAGGTCAGTTTCTCTTTGTGTCAATTTCCCGAGACAGAGGTAATCCACCAAAGCGGTGCGGAGGTTTGCGCAGAGAAGCCGCTTGCTCCGGTCCCAGCCCAAACGATTCTTCATCGTCTGGGGCCTGTGCCAAAACGGTTTCCAGTTCATGGTGACCCCAGCGCTCCCGGCACTTGTCTCCGGCGCACACTTGATCTGGGCTCGAGGGAGGCTCTGATCTCGCAGAGTGAGCCGAAAACAAACGAGTTAGGGTCAATACTCTGAGAGGTAGGCAAGCCCTTAGCTCAGCCAAGGAGCTATTGGGGAACAAAATAAGGAGGGCTGGCCCCTGTGCATCTCCTCGGCGGGAATCCACATACCCTCACTGCCTCCCTCAGTGCAGAGGGGCACCCCAGAGGTCGTGCCCAAGCCCTTGAGAAGATAGAATCAGACTCGGTGGTCTTCCAGCTGTGTATGGGGATGGAGAAAGCAGCTCCTTCTAGATGTTGTTAACCAACCGCTAATGCCTGTGTCTCTGTCCCTCCTTGTCCCCGGCCTTCATCTGCCCCCTCCTCGAGAAGTGCTCCCTCCTCCCATTTTCAAGTTCCCCGGCAGCACAGTGGGGGCTGGGCCCCAGCCAGCCTAGCTTCCAGAGCTGGCTTCTCTGGAAGTGCCCTTGGTTCTGATGCCCAAAGCTATTTGCTTGCACAATGTAGGCTCGATTTGAGGCCTCAGTTTATTGGCCATTGAAGGGAGTGATGGCACAGACTAGCTCCTAAAAGGTCACTTAGGTAGTAAGGGCTCAAACCAAGTCTTACCTCCTCATCTTCTTTCCTGACTCTGGTCAGTTTCTTCCCCTACCCCTGACCTCCTCCCTCCCCTTTGGAGCAGACAGCTTCTGTGGGAAGGTGGTGTGGGGGAGGGGCAGGCACTGTCAGGAAATGGTCTTCTGTTTTTCTCTGCTTCCACCCTTATTTCAGACTCATCACTTTCATCAGTCTCCTACCTCTCTCTCCAGAGGTTTCCCTGCCCCAGGTATAGCCAGTCTCCTACCTGAGTGTCCTCTAAACCTTTAGTTACACCCATTTTACAGAGTGTGATACTGAGGTCAGAGAGACAAAAGGACTGACAGAAAAGTTCATATGGGCAAAGTTGGAACTGGTTCTTGGGTCTTTAAGGATTCACAGACATGAGAAGGGAGGGACTCAGATTCCAGAGAGAGGAGAGTGGACTGTCTGGGTGGGGACATATGGTTAAACCACTCTGTCTGTTTTAACCATATTTGTATCTATGGCCCGACTGTCTATGTGTGTCAGCACCTGGACAGTCATTTAGAGAGTTCATTAAGGAAATTTCATCCCTATTTTTTCCCCTGTGTTCTTGTAGGCATATTTGTGTGTCCCTTCATTCACCCTCTCAGGTGACACTAGGAGAAATTTCAATGACCCTGTAAGTCCTGGAGTTCAATCTGTGGTTGAGTCAGCAGAGATCCTCTCCCCAAGACCCTGTGCCCAGTTCTGGATGCAGACAGGGCCCCTGGTGGGCAGTATGTCCTTATCAGGGCCTGAGGAGCATTGTGGAGGCCATCCCTTCCAGACCAGAGCCACAAAAGCCCCAGAGGCATCTGCAATTCAACCTTTCTCCTCCTGGCCACCCTCCTCCAAAACCTTCTCTGACAGTCCTTTGGGCGCAGGCCTGTGTTTTCCTTGTATCTGTTTATCTCTTGGTCTTTGCCTTGATTACACTCAGTCTGTCTCTGTGTCATTCTCTCTGTAAATTCTACTTGGCCCTGAAAAGTGTAGCTGAGTCTGTGTCTCCCGTTAGCCTCCCCCATGGGATGAACCCTCACTCAGCTGGAGTCCACAGGAAGTAGAGGCTGAGACTTGAATTCTCAGAGGAGATGCAGAGCTGAACTTGAGGTTTCAGAAAAAAGTTTCCCTTCCACAGAAGTCTCCTGTCCTCCATATGCCCCCTTACTGGGCTTCCTCCATTTTCTCTTCTGGTTTTCTTGCCTCCCACTGTACACCACACTCTCCTTTCTTTTCTTCACCTGTTCTGGCTGATTCATTCCTTTTTCTTCCTCTGATTTTCTAACTTGAAGCTTCCGTTTCTGGCTCCCTTTTCTTACTGTCTGTCTCACTTAGTTCCCACTCTTTGTACCCTTACCCTCATACCTCACTTTTCCTCTGTTCTTTTTCCCATCCTGCCTCCTTTCTCTCAGGCATCACATTTCAATTCTTTCCAATCTCAGGAGACATTGCCTTCTCAGACCACAGTTATAAATTACCTCCCTACCATCTTTGAAATGCTCTATGTGATAGGACTATGATGAGGCAGAGAGGACCAAGTGGGTTTGGGGGCCTTTTCAGGGGCTCCCAGGTCACCCTGGGTCTGGTGTCAGCTTTGGACGTGTGGGTTAGATTCTGAAAGAGTACTGGTAGCCTACTCTTTGTGGTCAAAAATGGAAAGTTTGGGGTTTGTTGTCACCTAGAGTGTCCAACCCTTGGGAGTTTTCCATGATGCAAAATGGTCCCAAAAGCTCACAAATGTTCTGCAGGACTGCTCTTGGAATTTGGGTCTTCTGAAGGTTGCCACTGTGTTTTGGGCAGAAAGTTTAAATTGCCATATACTATGCCATGCACAGTATAAGAAACAAGTAGACCAGGCTATTGCAGGTAGACCACCTGTCTGGACTAATAGATTATCTTAAAAGTTTGCTAAGTGCTCTTAGCTTCCTTTTTGTCCTTTCCGATGAGCTGGTACTAATTTTGAATTTACTTTCTTCTTAAATCCAACCCGTTCTTGAAAGATCCATATGACCCGTTTTTATTAGGTGCTCTCAATCCCAGAACAAAGCCTTCTTAAGGCCCTTGACCAGGGGTGGCTGCAGTCTTTCTGTTTTAGGTATACTATGCAGTTGTGTTCCTAACTGCAAAATTCTGTCCAGGATGGTTTTCCTTTTTCTTATGTCTGGAGTGTTTTAGAACAGCCAAAAGCAACTAAAGCTCATTTTGAAAACCAGAGAGAAATTCTAGCTTAGATCTATAAAATTGTGTTTTTCCTTGAAATCAGCCTGAGCTTGGAAATTTGAGGGTAATATTTAATTCGGACTCTCATGGGAAACTTCGGTGAATTGCTTTGGCAGTTTTTAGGAAATAGGTTATGTTATGGGTGCCTTTTCCCCTCCATTTCAGATGTTGTTTGTGAACCTGGATAGTAGTTGAGCGCTGGGGGGAAAAGCTGAGATGAGGTGGCTCTTTTATGTTTTAGATTTAGAGTGTGTGTGTGTGTGTGTGTGTGTGTGTGTGTGTGTGACCTCTGAGATGCCCTGGCTTCCCTGGTACTGTCCAGGCCCAGGCAATTCTCAGTTTAGGAGATTTCCCCTTTGGCCTCTGAGCTACCAGCAGCATTGGTAAATGCTTGGATTTGGCTTTTGGCTTTTGATAGTTTTTAGCGATGTTACTGGCTGATTAACAGCTAAAGGTCAATGGTATTAGTATACTGGATTACCCTATGTTTACTGGTTTAGCTCTTCATTTACTTAGATTCCTGTTTCCCTCCAGATGGACCTTAATATAAGAGAAGGAAGCTTATTGGGTGAAGGAAATACTATCTTGGACTCCTTTTACTTAAAATCCATCCCAGAGCCCTTGTAAAACCTGGGACTCAGAACCGTCCAGCTTCTTTATTTCTCCTGAACCAACTTAAAGCTCTTGGCAATTGCAAAATACTCCAAAATTTTTAGGAAAACTTCTTTAGAGCAGATTCTGGTGCAGTAGAGTAGAATGTGATCCTCTGACCCATTTCTTTTGTGTGCTCTGAGAGGGTTCAGTGGTCAAATATGCACGTCAGCCTTACATTTTTTGTTTGTTTTTTCCCTGCCAGCTTTATTGAGGTATGGGCCTCACCTTCCTAAAGAAAGGGATTTTTATCAAGGCAATGGTTGAGCTTTGTCTCAGTATCCTTCAGAATACTATTTAAAAATTTAAAAAAGTCCTTAGCCCATAATCAGATTGCTGATTTAAAAAACATTTTCCCCCTGAGATCTTGGTTTGCTAGAGTAGACCCTTTCACTTTTAAAGATGTTTATTAAAAGGAAAAGAGTTTCATTTTTTTTTAAATCTCTTTAAATTCGATATATTTTAAAATGTATTTTCTCTCGAGGATCTTCTTTACACCTCAGTATCACATATGTAAGAAGTTGTGTCCCTAGTAAAGACTGAAGTCTTCACATATTCCATTGTTAAAAAAAGAATTATCAAGAAAATGCTAATAACTAAAGGAAACATAGTATGAGAATGCTTACCCTCAATAGCCCAGTTGACTGACTGAAGACAGACAAAGGCTAAGGTTAATTTTAAAAAGTAATCTAAGGTGCTCATGTAGTCTGCACGATTAGACTCCAGGCTTAAGACATATGCCTGTGGCCATTTCTGATCCGAGGGGCTCTGGTGCTCACAGTGGTGCTTTACCTTCTATATGACTGGTTCTAACCATCCTTTCCCTTGCCTTTTGTTTCTGATCTGTTTCAGGACATGGAGGAGTGAATCAGCTTGGGGGGGTTTTTGTGAATGGACGGCCACTCCCGGATGTAGTCCGCCAAAGGATAGTGGAACTTGCTCATCAAGGTGTCAGGCCCTGCGACATCTCCAGGCAGCTTCGAGTCAGCCATGGTTGTGTCAGCAAAATCCTTGGCAGGTAAAGGCAGGAGCTCCAGGCTTCCCTTGAGTTTTCAAATAACAACCTAAAACACGTCCCAGCAGCTGTCCAATGAGCCAATGTTGTAGTGAGAATCGTGATGACACTTTGCCCACATGCACAGCACTTTAGAGTTTGCAAAACCCTTTCGAGGCCATTCAATTTAAAGTAGCCTTGGGAAACCCCAGTGACACGCGGAATGGGGACTCAGTTAGGAGGGATGACATGTTTTCTGAAAGCCTGATGAATTCTTTCAAAGAATCTAAGAGTAAGTGTTTCTTGAGAATTTCCCTGCCACATCTTAGGTGAGCTCAGGTCCCGAGCAGGGCTGGGTGGAAAACCTACAAGTTGGAATCACCAAAATTACCAGAGTCCAATGTTTCATTTTAATGTTTTCAAAAAAGCATATTTGATTTTTAAAAGTCAGCTGTCATTTTCAGTTTTGGGTTATCATCAACCTTATTATGTTGCACTGCAGTTTTTTCTTTCTGTTTTGTTTCTTTCTTAGTAATAGGCATCCTAAGTATATATTAAATTAGAGAGGGGAAAAAAGCTCAAAGAAACACTAACTCTTCATTCTGACATTTAAAAATTGCCACTTGACCTGGCAATTTGCTGCAAGTAAAATACTAACAATGCCGATTTTCCCAGAGGGTTGTATAGCCTTTAGCACTCCTGTTAATCTTCTCGGGTGAGCCTCCGCACCAAGCAGTTTTGAGATGAGGAAACAAACCTAGAGAGGCAAAGTAACTGACCCAGGTCCAGCCAACCAGACAGTATTCGGGCTGGGAAGAGGGCTTAAGGATTTCCAGACCATGCACATCTCACCATACTCCAAAACCTAAGCCACAGGTTTGTTTCCAGGCTTGTGAAGTTGTCACAGTCTGTCCTGGCAGCCACGAGCAGTCTCGGCTTTAGCTGTTCAGTGCTCTCTCAGGATTTCTCTCCCTGGGTCAGAGAACAACCTTTGTTCTGTAACTTCCATTATGGTTTGAGAACAGATGCCTGAATGGAAAATAAATATTTTGAAGCATGTCAGTGACATCGTGACTTTCTGCTTGTTCTTTCCCTTCCATCTACTGGAATTTGAGAAATTCTCTTAGATGGAGAGAACACCAGTTTCTAACCTTGGGGAACCTTGCTGGAGGCCAAGGGAAGGAGTTTCAGGGCCAGAGGTCTGGCAACCCTTAGGGACCTTGATCCCAGTGTTTTTTCCTCATTCCCCTGCTACCTCAGCCGTGGAGGCTGTGGGCTCTACTCAGCAGCAAATGAACCCCAGCCAGAGAGTTCAAGGAGGAAGGCAGGAAGTCAGTGTGCTGTTCTTGTTAGCTGGTGGTTTTGTTGGGTAGAGGATGAACGTGCGAGTAGAAGAAGAAAATAGAGGAGAAGGAGATAGAGGAAAGAGAAAGAGGAAAAAAAAAAGAAAACAAAGAGAAAAGAGAATGACCAATTTTAAAAAAAAAGAAACAGAAAGAAATAAAGACAAGATAGAAGGAGAGAGAAAGAGAGAGAAGGAAAATATTTTAGATTATCTCAGTGTTAGACTCTGAGAGCCGAATGGGTCTTAGATATCTTCTTGAGAAGCCGCTTCATTATACGGAGGGAGAGAGAAAGAAAAAGAAGGCCTTTCCTTTGTTTTTGCTGAGATATCTTTGCTGAGCCGACATTTTGCTTGCTGTCTGAAATCATCTCAGGGCAAGATGCAGAGCCTTTCTCAGAGGGGACATTTAGATACCCGGTTCTTGTGTCCTGGTGCCCGGAAGCCCTCCACATTTTCCCTGTAGACTGAAGGGGACAGGGACCCTCCCAGGCCCAACCGGCAGCCTTCCGCAGCCCAGAATAGATTTGTCACTAGGTAGAGTGGCACTCGGAAGTTACGCGCCGCTCCGGTGCCTAGCGGTTTAAGTTGTCAACAATAAATTGGAATTTCATAGCTCATTATTTTCATAACTAAGAACCACAGTGGACAAAATGTCACTCTAATTAGAACTGCCTTTTAAGAAACAAGTTCAGCCCTAAAACAGTGTGACTGGGAATTTCTGAACTGGGGCTGTTCCATCCACTATTTTTTTTTTTTTTTGGTCACTGAAGAATTTGATGGGTGCGCATGGGGTGACAGATTGCAGAGAGTGTGTGGTGTGTGGTGGCTGTGGCTTTCAGAGTCTGCATGGTAAGGCAGGCAGTCCCTTGGGCTGACAGAGACCCCCGTCATCTCAAGAAGGTGGCGGTCTGCCAGGAGTGTGGGCATTCAGTGCACAGAGCTCAAGGCTCCGGAGGGGCTTGAGAGGAACAGCCTGGTGGCATGTGAGGCCCATTAAATCCACCCAGAAAGCCTGGCGTTGTCTACTTTCACTAGAGCCTGTCTGGGAGGTTCAGGCCATTTGGAATTGGGTGGTATGTTACACAGGAATAGACACTCAGAGGATTTTAATCCACAACACGTGCTCTTTATATTTTGCAAAGCTTTTTCTTAACCATTTTGAATTTCTGTCTTCACAACAGCCCTGCGAGGCAGGCTGGGCAAACATCCTCAGCTTATTATGCAAATAAGGACACCTTAGGTCCAGAAATGCTAAGTGAGTTGGCTAAAGTCACACAGCAAGTTAAGGTCAGAGCCACTGACTAGCATCTGTACCCCTTTACTCCCAAACTAATGTTCTTTGCGCTGAAGTACACTGTATGTTGGTAGCTGCCGTTCTCTATCGTGTGTAAGCCAAAGGGATGCATGACTGTTTTGCTGAGATGAGAGAATGGTTATTTAGTCTGAATCCTCACTTGACATAGTTGCGAGTTGGGGTTTCTTGGAGTGTCAGGGTTGCCTTCTAAGTGCCTGGCCCATGCGTCAGTCAAAAGGAAGACAGAAACCTCTCATGTCAAGAGCATAGCCTCCTATGGTTGACACTGCTCAGGTGGGATGGGTGGAGAGTCCTGGGCTCTGCCACCCCCAGCCATGCAAGCAGGGCAAGTGCTGGGGGTGAGGGGAGATTTATCCTGCCACCCCTTCAGAGTTTCTGCCTGAATATTGCAGTCCCATTCAACTAACGTTTGTTGGGTTGTCTGTGTGTCTGTAACCTCTGCCCCACAACAGTGCCTGGGACGGTGACTGTCCTAACCGGCACTCAATGACTATTGATTGAGGGAATATAAGGAAAAAATACACGTTAAAATTCCTAGTAAATAGGAAAGCTGTCTACAATTGCAAAGGACTATTATTATTAAAATTTTTACAACCAAAGCAGCAGTTTGATCTAGTGGGAGGAGCACTGGATTCAGAGTCAGCTTTGAAAGCTGGGACTACCCCAAATTTCCAGAAGGGAGTGCTAATCCTTAGTCTTCTAATCCTTGGTTTTCCGTTGCATAAAACTCTACTGGCCTCTCAGGATTGGTGTGAGGATCAAGATAATTCAAGGAAGAGCTTTGTCAACTTTAGAGCACTGTGTCTAAATAATGAGTTGCGTTGATATTAACAAATGACTTTCTATGGTAATTAGAGGCTGTGGAAATTATCGTATGCCTAGATTTAGACACCTTTTGTAGACTTCTGGCAAAAAATATTTCCTTAGATATTTCTAAAAACCTGTTTGTGACTAATAACAAATTTTCAGCAATTAAAGAAAAAGGGAGGATAGGTTGAGTTTTGCCTTATGGTCCAAATTTGTACAGGACTCACTCTTCTCAATGAAAAATAGAATTTCCACTTCCACATCGCTGCTCCCAAATTATTTCATCTGTTTCTAAAATATTCACTAATTTGGTCCTCATCGGACTTATCCAGGCTAAGAATTTCAGCACCTCTTTAAATGTGACCAGTCGTTGTTCTGGGTAAGCTTTCCCACCATCTCATGAGAGGATCACCTCCTTCCCTTAACAAATATGAACTCTTTGTTAGGTTTGAAAATTACCAGTCATTTCTAATTTTTATTTTTATTTATTTTTTTAATTTTAATTTTATTTATTTTATTTTATTTTTTTTATTATGGTGACTTTGGTGAATGAAATCCAGTAGGTTTCAGGTGTACAATTTAACAGTAAGGCGCATATATGTACATATATTGCATTGTGTGTTCACTGCCCATAGTTAAGATTATTTTTTGTCGCCACATATTTGATCCCTTTTATTTCTAAAATGTCTTTTTGTAATTTTAATTTTATTTATTTTATTTTATTTTTTTTATTATGGTGACTTTGGTGAATGAAATCCAGTAGGTTTCAGGTGTACAATTTAACAGTAAGGCGCATATATGTACATATATTGCATTGTGTGTTCACTGCCCATAGTTAAGATTATTTTTTGTCGCCACATATTTGATCCCTTTTATTTCTAAAATGTCTTTTTGGTTAAAAAGAAATTTCAACTACAAAATAATCTCCTTAGCAGGAGGAAGTCAAGAATTCCTCTGTAAATGTTGAGAGAGACATCCAGTGAAGGCTCAGATTCAGAAGAAGAATCAAGTCATTTTTTTCCCCTGAAATGATCTTTCATGGCACTCTTCTCCCTGGTCTCGGTTTTACTGTAAAACCCTGACATCCTATTTGCGTTAACGAGGAAGAGCTGATAGCATGGAAATGTCCTTAGAAACAGCGATTTACCTCAAGGGAGGTCCCTGGAAGAGCTGCTGACTTGTGGTTGGTTTTTTTGATTGCTTAGGTTTCGGCTTTTTTATAACATGTATTTCCAGTTGATTCTAGAATCCAACTCTCCCTTTAATTTTACACCAGAGTTGTTTTTTTTTTCTTACGGAAAAATAAGTTGCATTATTTAGGAGGAAAGGTTTTACAGACGGCAGAGGAATCTGCTAGGGGATGGGAGAGCTGGCAAATTAGAGAAAGAAAGGTAGAAGCCAACTTTCTGGGGAAATTGTAGTTCAGGAGGCTCAGCCACAGTCCTGATTTGGCCAGTGTGTCTTGTGTGACACTGGGCAAGTCTATTAAACTCTATGGATCTCTGTTTTATAGCTGTAGATGGGGATGCATTTATTGATTCATTCAGTCATTCAAAGCAATTATGTGCTTTAGAACTATTGTGGAGATCAGATGGGAAAACTGACTTGAAAGTGTTCTGTAAACTTTAAAATGGTAGATAAATATGAATGAACGAACTTGACCCGTGCTGTCCAATAGAAATATAATGTGAGCCACATATGAAATTCAAAATTTTCTAAAAATACATTAAAAAAGGAAAAAGAAACAAGTACAATTAGTTTAAATTATATATCTTATTTAACCGGATATATAAAAATATTATCATTTCAACATATAACCAATATAAATATTATTAATGAGATAATTTACATCTTTTTTGTACTAATTTTTGAAAATCTGGTGTGTATTTTATGTTTATAGCATATGCCAGTTCAAATGAGCCACATTTCAAACATTCAAAAGCCACATATAGCTAGTGGCTACCGTATTGAATAGCTCAGATCTGGACATTTCCAGGACAGAGTAGCCTGTTATTTTGTTGCCAACATCCATATCGCTGGTTCCTCATGGCTAAGCTCCTTTCTCCTTGGTCCTAGGTATTATGAGACAGGGAGCATCAAGCCTGGGGTAATTGGAGGATCCAAACCAAAGGTCGCCACACCCAAAGTGGTGGAAAAAATCGCTGAGTATAAACGTCAAAATCCCACCATGTTTGCCTGGGAGATCAGGGACCGGCTGCTGGCAGAACGAGTGTGTGACAATGACACGGTGCCCAGCGTCAGTTCCATCAACAGGTGAGGGGCTGCTGCCTGTGGGGGGCTAGGGATCTGGGGGCAGTGGGGGATCCTGGAGGCACTGGGTGTGCCTTATCTGAAGATCTGGTCTCCCCTTCATCAGGACTCCTTAGCTCATCAGACAGGAGGGCTGCTCAGGGGCCGGATGGGTCTTTCTATTGCCCTTCTATTCTCTTCAAAGTGGGCAGGAGTTTGAGGCCCAGGGAGAGGGCCATGCCAGTACCCTGGCTGCTTGAGATTCTTCTGAGCCCAGAGTGATTTTCCATCATTCCCTTTACCATCCTACTCTGTGTGTGGAGCACAGCGAATTGTCCTGATTAGGCCTTTACAAACGTCACTTCCTTGGAAGCCCAGTCTCAAGGTCTTAGCATTGGCCCATCTCAGAGCTTCCCAGGGAGAAAATCCCTGCCTCCAGTTTGGGCAGAGTTTGAGTCGTTGAGTATGGGGAACAGACCTCTGACTTGGAGTTGGGAGGTTTAGCTCCTTGTCCCAGTTCTGCCACAAACTTAACGTGTGACCTTGACAGAGCTCTTTCTCTCTCTGAGCCCAGGGCCCTGGTGGTTCCAGTATAGGTCTGTGATCTCTGAGAGTGATGTCTAGGATGCTAAGATGCTGTGGAGTTAAAGAGTTGCCCTCTCCTCGATTGCCCTGAATCTCATCTGTGGACAGAAAGAACCAGAGAAATGCCATGAGTCTCAGTTTCGGGATCTTCTTAGAAGTCACCACAGCCTCTTCTCCTATTAGTCTGATTCAGGATACGTCTGACAGAACTCTCAGACATTTAAAAATAAGTTCCTGAAAGAAAGTTTCCTAGTGTGGATGGTGCAGTTTCAACTCCGCTTAAACTCACAGAGTCAGGGATAAAGTTGTGAGACGAACAGAGACGATTGTCCTGGAAACTCCACAAAGAGGAGAGAAACCAGCAGACTGAAAACTTGAGTAGCTTCCATTTCTTCAAGGTCATGCTCTACCCTTGTCAGTGCAGAGCCTCTCTGGGCTCATCCCCAGACAGGAAGAGTGGTCGTACTAGAATGTCTCTCAGATCCTCTCTGGTCCCGACAGTCCTTTCTTCTATAATGACTCAAGTGCACAGAATCACTGTGTGAGTACATGTGCTGACATTTTGAGTCCTGCTATTTCATAAACCGTTAGCCTGTTTTTCTTTTCTCAGTAAACCTTTATCTTGGCTCTGACATCATGCAAGCTGCTGAGAAGAAAGAAGGGAACCAGGCACACAGTCCCTTAGTCTCTGTTCTAGGGTGGCTTCTAGTCCAGGCTGGGATTCTGGCATGCACTTAGAGTTCTGGACAGCCTGAATTAGGCACAAAATGACAACTATTTTGGTAGACTTGGGAGGCATAACCCTGTTCTTTTTCTGGATTATGAGGGCCTCCAGTATGTTTTGTGAGTCCCCTGCTTTTGGCTTATTGCAGGATTTCTATGACACAAAGCAACACGATTTTTTTCCCCTGAGTCTCCAAAAGGCCTAACATGGAGCGAAGCACGTACTGCCTAGAGCTGTGAAGTAGTCAGCCTGCTCTGCAGAGGAACCTCCACCAAACCCGTGGTCAGGCTTTGGGGACCCACAGACTTCTCAGTGTAGGGTGTACATGGAATTGGTGGTTCAAAAGATAACTTAAGGTTGTCTGTGGGGGTCTCAAACTTTAATGCCTATGTGGAGCTAGGCAGATAACGCAACAAATGAAGCAGGGCATAAGACGATAGGGGAAGGTTGGGTCTGTGGCAAACTAGAAACACAAACTCTATGGAAGGAGCAGTTGCTTTTCAGCTCCAGCTGAATGCTGCCGGGAATGTGGGCCCAAGGTTTGCCACCTTTTTTTTCCTATTCTTAAAGAGAAGCCGGAAACTAGGACTCGTGTGTTTGTGTGTGTATGTCTGTGTGCTTGTATATATGAAATCTGTATTTTTAAATGGTGACAACTAATTTCAATGAAAAAAAAAAAAGCCAAGTATAACTTATTTGCCATGCTCCAGCTTATATCCTCTGTAACACAGGATGAAAATTGTTTTGTGATGAATTTGTTTGAATGTATTTTAGAAATATATAACTGGCACACCAAACCAGTAAGTGTGAACTACATGAACCCCCACCCCCAATTATAGTAAAGAACTAATAATGCCTATTCAAGTAAAAAGGTGTTATTTGAAAGAAACATAAGAAGTAAATAGAGCACAGTGATTACAGATGTGGCAAAAGCTATGAAGGGGGTACTTGATGAGTGTCTAGGGAAATGGCGAATCAGCTGATGCCGGGAGCAAAGGGGGGACCTCTGACTGCTAGTTGTCCTAGTCCATAATGATGACCTGGCTGGCTGTGCCTCTAAGGTGCTTTCATATCTGTGGTCTCTTACAGCCTTTAAGGCCTAACTCTGTCCTGTGATAGGTATAGCAATTGAGGCCCAGATGGAGAGAGCAGAGGAACTATGATTTTGAGATTGAGAAAGGAGCAGGACCTGGGTTTCCTGAAGATGAGAGGAGGGTTGGTCTCTTTCCACCACTGCAATGTAGAACTCTGCCATTGACAGCCTTCCTGCTGTCTTCCTGGGGAACCAGCCTGGGAAACCATGACTGACGCTGGGTTAAGCAGCACTGAACAGTTCTGCTAGGCTTGTGGGAGATTTCCTGAGACACAAACCATCGTGTAGATGTGGCTTCTTAAGAACATATACATGCTGGGCTGCTGTACAACCTGCACAATGGAGTCTTAAATCCAGCCTGAATGTCAGGTGGAGGTGACTGTTCCAGAGCTGGTCAAACGGTGGGCAAAATGGCAGTCTTACTTTTCCTATTACTTTTCCTATTTAGAGCATGGCTCTAAATCAGGAGCGAAGTGGTGGGGAAACTTGAGGGGCATTCCCAGTTTAGAGGGGCAGCTCCATTAGCACCAACTGATTGCTGCCAGGTGAGAACCAGGTGTTCGATTTTTCAAGAGAAGCTAGAAATCTAAGTATTTGTGTAACAGCTCTCAACTTTTACAAATATTGGCAACTAATTCAAATAAAAATAAATACACTGTGCAGGACAAACAAAACTTGCCCAATGATGGGTGTGGTCTGAGGATGATAGCTTATAAAGTCTGCTTTGAATCCTGACTTGGGCAGCCAGCCTTCTGAGACTATTAACCAACTCCTTTTTTCTTCCCCACGTCGATCACAGGCCTGGGTATCACCTGTGGGCCCTCTCCAAGCTTGGCCCAGTTGGAACCTTGGCTTTTGGATTTTAGCACTGCTGATGGTCCAAGATTTTTACTGAACTAATGGCAATTTGATCAGTGCAGTAGATACGGGTATTTCTTCAGGCTTATCTCCACATTTCCTTTGATAAGGTGTCACAATTTTCTCTTTCAGTGTAATTTTGTGTGTGGGGGTGATATTGTTGTTGGTGGTAAGATCTAGCCTTTCAAAAGAGTAAGGGTGATGTTGAAATGGTGTCTTACAAATGCTTGTAATATCTAAAGTTTCACAGGCTTCTAATCCTCAGAGTCTAAATGGGTTTGGAATCCAAATAGGTTTTATGCCTCATACAGCAAGTATTGAGTACAGGGACCACTTTCTTTGATTGTGGCTCCAAGAAGAGTGTTCAGGCATGGGCTCTGACTTGCCGTGTGACCGTGAGCAAGTCACTTGAGCGCTCTGAGTTTATGTTTCCTAACTCATAGGAACTGGTTGATTGCTGAGCTCCCTTCCCCATTGGACCATCTGTTCGTACAGAACCCAGGGTCATGCTCACCTTCAGCAAAGTAAAGGGCATAACTTTCAGTGTGAGCTGACAATTAGCCCCGACTGTTTCTCGTTTTGAAAAGGTCCCGGGTGTGGTTCTTATTGTGATGTGTCTTGATGCTGCTTATCATTTTTTAATTTTTAATTTTTTTTAGAATTGCTATGATTCAGTTAGTCTTGTTCTTCCCACTATCATACTTCTCAGTGGAAGATGATGCTCTTTGTCCTTTTCTTGGCAACCGTTGCAAGCAAATGGGCAAAATCTCTATCCCCCGGGACAGCTTTGGAGGGTTCCCTACAATTTGGATTGTGCCCATTGAGGACAGCCCCATTGCAGACTTAAAAGTGGGTGTGGGGATGGCTACCTTCCCCTCCCCAGCACCAAGGGGATCCTATGTATTTTTAAGGCATTTGTGGAATACATGAACCTTTTAAAATTGAAGCTGATCAATAATCTTTATGAAGATACCACTGACAATACCAACAGCTAACAGTTATTGAGCACGTACTATGCTGCAGCCACTGCTCAAAGTTCTTAATGTAATCATCATACTAACTTTATGGAGTAGGAATGAATGTTGGTCCCATTTTGCAGATGAAGAAACTGAGGCACAGAAAGTTTAAGTAATTTACCCAAAGTCATGCAGCTGGCAAATGGCAAGACTGGAATTCAAACTCAAGTAGTCTGATTCTGGAACCTGTATACTTAATCACTATACTGTAGCTACCTCTCAACGATTTATAGCAATTGATAATGTTTTGCCAATGATTTATAAATATTTTAAAAGAAAAATAAGGAAACACAATTTTCTTTGCTTTGCTTATGTGCAAATTTAATGGCCAGACAGTGCTTTGGAAAGTTATGACTTTATGCTGGACTTCAATGAGAAATAGTTATATTTTATCATATATTTGTATATACATAAACCATAATATAGATAAAGTATATATCTGGTTTATCCATATGTTCATATAGCTATATCTCTGTACACACACACATATAGATAGAGAAGGTGACAAAAATATAAAGATTAGATCAAATGTTAGCTTAATTCCAGGTGATCAAAAATACTACCTTATTCCCAGGTCTTTGTTAAAACACTCCATGTTTGCTTAGTTAAAATAAGTGGCTTGAATGACAGATAGACAGACAAACGAACAAACACTCTGTATTTGAGGCAATATTCATGCTGACTTGTCAGAAAAGGGCAAAAGGCTGTGGAGGCTCACGTGGCCTGTGGTATGAACAGAAACGTTCAGTCCAGGCTGTCAGCTGAGGATGCTGAGCGCCCACAGTGCCCAGTGCTGAGCCGTGAAGCACAGAGGGCCACAATCCGATGAAGTTAAAAGGAGGCACCTGCCACTTCTGTCTTTCCTCTCCATTTGCACAAGCTGGAGACCCAGTGCAGCTTGAAACGAACTTTCAGAAATAATGGTCTGGAATGTGAAAAAGCTTTTCCTACAATGCTGAGTGAAAAGACCAAGATACAAAACTGTATACATGATTTAATCCCGATTTAAGAAAAAAAGCATATTTCAAAATATGCGCTGCTTGATACTAATTACAAATGACAGTCGATCCTTGAACAACGCTGAGATTAGGGACACTGACCCCCCAGTCGGTCAAAAATCCACATATAACTTTTGACTCCTCCAAAACTTAATTACAGTCATCCCTCTGCAGCCACAGGAGATTGGTTCTAGGGTCCCCCGCGGGTACCAGAATCCTGAATGCTCAAGTCCCGTATATAAAATGTTGTAGATCAATGCATATAGTCGGCCCTCCACATCGATTAAATCTGTAGATGTGAAACCCGGGGATCCTGAGGGTCTACTGTATATTTATTGAAAAAAATCTGCATATAAGTGGACACGTGCAATTCAAACCTGTGTTCAAGGGTCAACTATACACCGAAATGTGATTTCAAGGTCTTCTTTAAGGTTGTTGTCCAAATAGTCTACAATGAGCACAAAGCACTTTTATGACTAGGAAAAACTCTAAAAATTATCTTTTAAAGGATAATAGTTTGAGGCTGACTAGAACTTTTCCAAAGAAGCTGAACATTATATTATCATCCACTTTCTCCCAATTTCCAGAGAAGGAACTTTCTTGCAGCCCCCAAAGAGACTTTTGGCCCAGCCTTGGTCGATACACTGGGCTTAAGGACTCATGGAAGCCCCATGCATTGTCCCAGCTGGAAATTCACAAAGTAAGCATCTTAAAGCCCAAGGTTTAGCAGAAGGACATCAGAGCTGCCAGTCAGCAAAGGGAAGACAGCACCGCTATTATCCCTTTTGTACACTGGGCTTTCCCATAAGATTTTGTGTGTGCATGTGTGTGTTAAAAGGATTCAGTTACTTAAAGTAAGCAAAGAGTGTTCTATTCCAACTCCCTCATTGTATGGAGGCCTACAATGGAATGGGCTTGCCCAAGGTTACAGTCAGGTTCCTATTAGAACTGGAACAAGGTCTCTGGAAAGACAGGCGGGGACACCCCTGGCTCCCAGCCCCATGGAGCTTTTCCACAGGTTTTTGCAGACTTCCTCTTAGCAAAGCCAAGCCAGGCCTTTCCTGGCAGCACTTTAACCCTTTCTAGTTTCAGAGTAACTCACACATACCCCTGTCTTTATGATTTCTGACGAGTGGTCATGTTACCCTTCCTGTGGCTCTCTAAGGGCAGAAAAACCAGAGTGTGAGGGCTACCAGGGGACAGAGAGGTGATTTGGGCCAGTCTCTTCATTCCACAGTGAGTTTACGGAGCTGGATTTGCTCCTGAGAAAGGAATACCTTCATAACATAAACACATCATCCTTTTCTATGGAAGAAGCAAACACATAAATACATCATCCTTTTCTATGGAAGAGGCTCTTGAGGCCCAGAGAGGTGTGCAAGTTACCTGAAGACACCCAGGGAGGCAAAGGCTGAGTCGGGACTAGTTCATCATCCTTCTAATCTCCTAACTCCCAACCTGAGTTCATAGTCTCTGTTCCCTCTGCCCCAGCTTGACCCCTGACCCAGCTTGATATGAGTTTTCTGGTTCTCCATGCAAAGCTAGTTGCGATCTCTTCTCCATCACGGTAAATAGCCATTTCTTTTTTTTTCCCACTGCCCACAGGATCATTCGGACAAAAGTACAACAGCCACCCAACCAGCCGGTCCCAGCTTCCAGTCACAGCATAGGTAAGAACTTAAAAAAAATTTTTAAACATCTAATGGGCTCCAAATATTCTAAAGAACTTTTAATCATTCTTATGGACAGATAATTCTGCATAAAACACTTCGGCACACGTACTAATGCGCCTTCTTTGTCATTCTCCAAGGGCTGAACCCGGTAAATGAATTTTATAAATACTGCTAAAAGGTTTTGAATTTTACTGATTATTATGATAAATAGCTTTCAGCATGAGACAGAAAATTGAAATCTAAGCCAAAAAAAAAAAAAAAATCCACTAATGGGGGTCTATAGAATGTCAGATAATTAAAGTAATAAATCAAGAAAGGGGTACTTATTCATAACATTTTCTGCATCATTAGTCAGTAAGTAGTTTTGAATGTGTTTTTTTCTTCTATCAACCAGCCCTTCTACAATTCTTTGTGCACTTGCAGTCTTGAGTGAAGATGTGGCAAAACTTCCCAAACTTTCTCTCTCTCTTGCTTCGATCTCATGTACTCTGTGAACTGTCAGAGCTGCTAGTGCAGTTTCTGACACCAGTGAAGTCTGAAAGTGACCATGACTTCTAAGAATTTGAATTATATATCCTACTAGTTGACTCATGAACAGTGAGTCAACTAGAGACCCTGCCCTCACAGTCAAAAATCTGAGTACAACTTTTGACTCCCCCAAAACTTCAATTTCCCTTAGTATCTGCAAGGATTGGTTCCAGGACCCCCCCATACTAAAATCTGTGCATGTTCAAGTCCTTTATGTGAAGTGGCACAGAACAATGCATATGGTTGACCTTCCGCATCTGCAGATTCCCAACTGTGGATGGAAAATACTGTTTGCTATCTGCAGTTGGCTGGTTGAATCTGTAGATGCAAAACCAGGGGATACAGAGGGCTGTCTATATATGGAAAAAGAGCTGTGTATAAGTGGACCTGCACAGTTCAAACCCGAGCTGTTCAAGGGTCAACTGTACTCAAGAGTTCGGAAGTTTCCCTTGCCTTTTCTCCTCTGCAAAGATTGTGAGATGAAAATGACATGTGTCTATTTAAGGCATATTATTTCTCCACCTGGGATAAAGGAAACAAACCCTTCTGGTTAGCTGGGAGAAGGTTATTTTACTATAAGAAAGTGGGCAACTATTTAGTAGGACTCTGACAGTTCTGGTTGCCACAGTCCCTATCAATTCCACTTAATCACGCCTCAGATTCTGTACTGTTTGCACACCTTTGTCACTCCTTTAAATAAAAATTGGAACTCCTTGTGGTGATGGGGGACAGGCCTGGCTTATAGTTCCAGCTGTCACGAACTCACCCAGTAAACTGTGTAAGTCCCTTCACCTCTCAGAGCCTCCGTTTCTCCATTTGTGAGCTAAAGGGCACGAACCAGGTGCTCTCTGAGATCTCTGATCCTCTGTGGTTGCCTCTTTGGATGATGGTGAGACAGAATTCCTCCCTGCCATAAAATCATTCTTCATTTAGTAATCCATTCAAAAACTGTTTGCTAAGCCCCTGCTATGCAGATCTTGGCATTGGAGACTAATGTTTTAATTAGGAGGCAGGACAAAATCTCCATTCTCAAGGGCTTCTCAGTCTCATGGGGGAATGCCGCAAAGAGAAGTTTGCAAAACACTGAGATAAAGCTCAAGAAGAAAGTACAGGGTGCCGTGGAAGCCGAAGGGAGGGAACCACCGGCTCCGTTGAGCTGGGGTGAAGAGGATTGAGGAAGACTCCTGGGCAAGTGTTTGTGGCTGAGATTTCACTTGCAGCTTTTTAACTATTTCAGATCATTTAGCAATGGATATAAAACTGAGAGTAACTGATAATAGTCTTTCAACTGGGTCAGCAGAATGCTTTGTGTCTGAAATTGTTATAAAAATCGTATCTTATATGTGTACAGCCCCTTAAAGTTTACTAACTTAATGGGGAGTGAGAAGAAGGTGGCTACGAGAGATGAAATAACTAACCCAAGGTCACATTGCCAGTAAGCGGTGGAGCCAGAAATGGAAACTTGGTCTTTTGAGTCTAGTGCAATTCCAAAATACTGAAACAAAACTTGTTGGTTCTGTCAGCAACGTGGTGCAACTTGGTTATATGTGGTTGTTGTTGTTTAAAGTACCAAATGACTTGTGATCTTCCTTCTTCCTCTGTTCTTTGCACCTTAATACAGAAAAGGTTGTGAGATTTGCATAAATCTATTTTGAAAAGCTTCTTCTGATGAAGGAAAAGAGAAGTTAACGATTTCTACTTCTGTGTCTCCTAAGGAAGCTCTAAAATCAAACTCAAATATGAGAAGAAAGGGGCCGTTCCCTCTAGGTCTGTAGGAGCAAGAGCTGGATGTGCTCCAAGGAAAGCAACAAACAGCTTCTCGTGCAATCACCACCATTTCTAGTAATTTCCTACACTTTCGAGTCAAAGGCGGCTCCACTTGCCTCCAGCTAGTTATAGCCCAAGGAAATGTGTCTGAGATTGGTTTGTAGGTTTTAATGAACCAAGAAAGAATTCCCACAGCTCAGAAATAGAAATTCAGCTATACAGCTTGAGAGGACCCTGACTACCGACTGACTAGTCTCTCTTGGACTCTGGGGCCAGGAGTTAATGTGAAACTTGCCCAAAATCTCTCCTCTCCCATTTTTAGCCTTAGGAACTCAGAGATCTGGCTTTAGTCACAAGTCTCCGCCCACATTTCTGGGTGGGGGACATTTAGACTTTATGTCAGTAGACCCGAGGCTGAGTCCTGGTGCTACTGCTTATTGGCTAGATGACTTTGAGCAAATCATGAAGGCTCAGTTTCTTCATTTGATAAATGGAGATGAATAATAGCACTCCAGATTGTCACAAGCATTAAATGAAAAACACGGCATTAATGAGAAGCATTAATTATTTATTAGTGAGGAACAGATTACTGTAGGGGTTAAAACTAGTTTCTGGTTTCCATTCCCCACTCTGCCTCTTATTAGCTGCGTGACCTTGGGCAAGTCACTTACTTTCTGAGCCCTGGTTCCTTTATCTTTCCGATGGGATAAAACATGACATAGCTTATAAGATTTTTCTCAAAATTAAACGAGATGCCTATCACAGAGTAAGTTCTCAGAAACTGTTATCATTATTATATATAGCAATATGATTACATATTATATGTAGTACTATGTAATATTATATAAAAATATTAAAATCCAGGTAAATTGAAGGGAGAAAAGACAGTAAAGAACTGTAAAAAGAAGGGACAGTCTGCTATTTGGAGCTTTTTGGCTCTGTGTATGAGTGCGCAGGTATTTATGTCGGCATAGAGGGATGGGTATGTAAGCCGGGAGTGAACTTGCCTGTTGAGTAGGTCTGGGTCTTTTTTCCAGCACTGGCTAGTGGTGGGCCCCAGCTCTCCTCTTTCTCTTCTCCATCCTCCTGCTTCCGGCATCCTTGGACAGGTGGAATCTAAACTAATGCCCTTCTTAACACTGTTCCTTGATCCTTGCTGCACCATCAGTCCTTCTGGCTGCCTATCTTCTCTCTGTCCACTCTTCCCCTGTCATCTCCCCAGCAGCAGAGAACCCGGGCAAACGACTTGATGACCCTCCTCATTGCCCAGGTGTGGGCAAATGTCCTCAGCACACACCCTCCCTGTCCCGGCACTTTCACATCCAGCCCAGTGTAGGGTGACGGCCTTTGTTTTGGCCCTCGGCTCCCTCCGCACCGGCGCTGGCCCCGCAGCCCTCCTGCTGGGTCTTGACCACCCCTCTTCCTCTGCGCAGTGTCCACGGGCTCGGTGACGCAAGTGTCGTCGGTGAGCACGGACTCGGCCGGCTCCTCGTACTCTATCAGCGGCATCCTGGGCATCACGTCCCCTAGCGCCGACACCAACAAGCGCAAAAGAGATGAAGGTAAGAGAAACCCGCGCAGCCTGCCGGAGATGGACCCGACGGGATCTTTTTCAGGGCGCTCAGTCAGCGGTGGAAGCAAAAATGCTCGCTGAGCATCCGTTCATTCCAGAACGCCGTAGTCCCCCTGCCCAGGCCCAGGCTCTTCCCTGGACACGGGGAAGGGCAAACAGGGAGCTGGCGGGGGCTTTGGATATCTCGCCCGTCTCCCCCCAGTATTATCCCCTTAGTGGAAAAAGGCAGAGCCCAGGGTCGTGAGCTTTGTGTGGCCTTAAGAAGACCTTGCGTGTGCAGATATGATGCCTGAGGGCAGGGTGTGGAGGGGACGAGCACATCACCCGTGTCTGCTTTGAGACCGAGCCCGGGAGGAGAGGGAGGGGCAGGTCTCACCGCCCTGCAGTGAGACTGGCGCTGGCGGAGTGGCGTGTCAGGGGGTGGGGTCTCTGAGGGGCTGTGCTCACCTCTCCCAGGAGAGGGCCTCCAGGGGTGGTGATGGTGGGGGCTGAGGGAGTTAAGAATCATCTCATCTTGGCTCTGGAAGAAAGGAATGCAGAGGCCTCCTGAGGATTACAAAGATGAGTCTTCCCCGTTGGTTTTTCTCAACCCCTCAGTGGTGCCCCCATCCTGGACACTGGCCCACCTTCACCCGGCTCTCCTTTCCCCTGGATGGGCTGCCAGCGCTGCTGACAGTAATGGGTTTGAGAAGAGAAGCGACCCCCTGGGAGATTGTAAAACCTTAGTCAGGAAAGGAAAAAAAAATCAGGCTGTGGTCTAGGGCCTGAGAACAGCGTGACAGAAATCTTGATTCAATTATTCTGTTCCTCTGCACAGTTCCCTTTCTCAGCTCCCTGTAAGGGATGTATGTTCTGGAGAGCACATGCCTAAGTACTTAAGATCTGTAACTAGAAAATTGAGTCAGCCCAGCAGTGGATTGGCCTGTGGTCTGCATGTTCCAGGCATTACAGAAGCTGGGCCTGCGGCCTCTGTTTGGAGTTGTGGAGCCTGTAGGGATGATTCACGGCTTTGAAAACCTGCCTCACCTCTTGCCCCTGCTCCTGACACTCAGAGCAGATGTCAGAAGTCTTTAACTCAGTGGGTGGCTGTGCTGTGTTACTGTAGGAGGCAGCGGGCTAACCATTTCTGTTGGTTTATGGGATTGATGGTGTCATCTTTTCTCCTGTTGTCACCTGGACTTGAAGCAGATGTGCTCAAGGTGGGGCCCAGCTGTGTTTGATCATGGTGGAATGGCCAGTTGAGTATGGCTCCCCCAGAAGCTGAAGGGTCAGGCAGAGATTTTCGGAGAAAGAGAAAAAGTCTGATTTGATGTTTACCACCAAACAGACAGGTCCTGATTTGGGGGAATTGTTTTATGGTGTTTGTGGAGTGCGGTATTGGCTTTCATTCTGATCCCTGGTCACTGTTTAGCCTCTCAAGCTGCCTTGAAAGATGTAGAACAGTCAGAATGTGGGTGTCGTTGGTCTAGACTGCTCTGTACTGGTCCGACTATTCTTGAGGACTGTGGACCATTTGAGGTATTGACCTTTAAGAGGGACAGTGACAAATTAGGGTGAGTCCAGATGGATGTAACCTGGATGGAGAGGGTACACCTCAAGGCTCTAAGTGTGTTTTTGCACAAAGACGAGAAGAATGAGGAAGACTGGATTGTTTCCTTTCAAATATCTGGAGGGCTGACATGAAAAGCAAGAGGAATGAGACTTTGCTGTGTGGCCTCAAATGCCAGTGTGTTGCAGATGCAGAGGAGTTTTCAGCTCAGTATAAAAAAGAATTTTGTAAATATGAGAGTAGTCTAGGATAAAAGAGGTTGCCTTGAAAGGTAGTGAGTGCCCTGTCACTAGAGGTATGTACGTAAAGCCTAGGTAGCCACTTGATGGGCTCCTAGAAATGACATTAGGAGTCAGATGCAAAACTGAATGATCTTTGGAATCCTTCCAGTTTTGAAATTTATGATTGAGCCCTGATCCCCAGAAAGATTTGAGAGGTGATCTAGTCTGGTCTGAGGGCTAAGGGAGCATGATTTAATGGTCTTGAAAGCTTATAAGATTGGGAAAAGTGGGAGACCCAAAACAGCAACCAGAGCCTCCTCATCCTCTGCCTCGCTTCATGTAGCACGTAGATGGTAGACCAGAGAGGTGGGGCAGAGGCTCCCTTCTTCACATCAGCAAACTCTCTGGAAGGAGTTCTGCCTAGTGCTCCCTTCTGCCCTTTCCCCAACTCCCTCTCTGTCTCCTGGATCCTTACCTTGGCTTCAGGGAGAGTTGAAGAGACCGAGATTGCCTCCCCCAACCCCACTTTATAAGGGAGGAAACCGAGGCCCCAGACAGTTCCTTGATATTGGCAAAGCCACACAGCTGGCGTGCCCTGGGGCGTCAGGAGGAGCTGGAAAGCCCCTGAGGCCTCAATCCCCTGGTATTGTCTGGCCACCTGCTGGCCCTCAGCCCCCACAGAGAGATGTTTTGGAGGTGGAGCAGCCTGAGGCTGGGCAGAGCCAAGGGACAATGTCAGGAAGAGTTGCCAGCAGAAGGGCATGGTCAGCAGGTTGCTGCTGAGAGTGTGGTGAGAAAGTAAGAACCAGCCACTGGGGAAACACAAGGGAATTGCCAGGTGCACTGGCGGGCTGGCCCGTTGGGACCGCAGACCATGGCACCATTTTTTCTCAGGAGACCCCAGCAGCATGAAGGAAGGGCTGTGGGGGTAAGAGAGTCATTCGAGGGCCAAGAGGAAGACTGCTGAGGGTCCTTACTCCTATTTCTCAGATGAGATGACTGGGGCTCTGCAAGGTGGAGTTGCTTGTTCAGCCCTGGTTCTACTTGGACTTGAGTTTTACACTGTGGGCATTTTTCTGGTGCCACTCTCCTGCCCAGACGTCAGGGCAGGGGTGGGTGGTAACAGAGTCCAATAATGAAGGAGCTGCCCTCTAGAGCTCACAGGCTGGTGGGCAAGACTGGCAAGCCCAGAGTCCCTTCGCTGGGCAGTATGTGAAGTAATGTGCGATGGAGGATGACACCGGAGGGGAGAGGAAGGCAGGGAGGGGCTGATTTTGACCAAAAGGATCTGGGACACTCCTTATAGGAAGTGGCACTTTATCGAGAGGAAAATATTTTCCACTGCTTCTGTTGTTAAATTTAAATTAATTAAAATCAAATAAAATTAGAAATTTAGTTCCTCAGTTGTACTAGGTACATTTTAAGTGCTCCATAGCCACATGTGGCTAGTGGTTACTGTATTGGATAACATGGCTTGATTACAAATATGTGGCACATCGTAGATGTTCAATAAATACTCCTTGGTAGAATGGCTGTAGAGAGGAGGGTGTGTGGGGGTCCCAGTCGGGAGTGCTTCTGTTTGATATTTTGAGCTGCCACAGAAAACTCAAAGAGTTCTGTAACAAAAACAAGTAAGTAGAACACCTTAGACCACTGGATGGCCAAGTGCCCTTTCAGTCTAGAAATTCTAGGATTCTCCCCACGATGTTTGTCTCCAAGACAAGACTTGGGGATGTGGCCACTGTGTCCAAACCTCAAATGAACAATTCTGTGGCTGAGGCAGCAGATGAGGTCCCCAGGACCTCTGAGGGCAGAGCCGGGGTAATTTAAAGGAAGCTACAGGGACGCAGAGTATGGCTCAATGCAAGGAACAGCTTTCAGGCATTAGCCAGGCTGGGCCAAGGATGGAAGCATTAGCTTGGGAAGGTAGTGAGCTCCCCATCATTGGAGGTGTGAGCAGGGGCTGAACAGAGGAGGGGTAGAAGAACCAGAAAAGGCATTTTGATTTGGACTCTGTGACTTTTGAGGGCTGTTACAATCTGAAGTTACATGCTTCAGTAACTGCCCTGTGTCTGCCTACTTGTTTTTTTCTCATTCCCCTGACTCTGAGTCTGTCATTCATATGGCTTTGACTGGGCAGGGGCCACATCACACAGGGGTATTTCTATCCCCAGCCCAGCCCCTTGGCACTGGGCCAGAGCACAGAGATGTTCAGGAGGCTTGTAGATGGCGCTGAGAATCAGGTTAGGGTGCTGCCCAAGCGTGGCTTGCAACCTCTTGTCCTAGTTGGGCCGACCTGAGAGTTTTCTTGGAGAGGCTGTGGAGCTGGCCTCAGGAATCCCTGTGGGCTACGGGGACAGAGCCTGAGGTGGTGCTTGCCTCCCCAGAAGGCCCAGAGGAGGTGGTGGTGGGGCTGGATTTGGCAGAGCATGCAAGGCTGTGAATAGCGGCCATGGGTGAAAGGGCAGCCCCAGACCCTCTGTTCCTTCCTGGGCCTTTGATCTCTGGTGGGGCCTCCTTCCGCCTGTCTCCAGGGTCCCCATTCAGGTCCTGTCGACCTCCCCCTCCCCTTATCCCCCCAGAGTTTGAAAGGCCCTGAACACATGAGGTCAGCCGACTGCGAATCCCTTTCACTAGCTCAGAAAGCCGCCCAATCCAGCACCGGTGTGGATTCCGGAGACAGAAGTCTCTTTTTAGGCAGTAGAGGATACATTGCAGGTGGAATTTCCGGCCTTTTGGGCCCTGGACTGCCCTCTGCCTGAAGAGGCACAGGAAGGACGGCCAAAACCCAGCAGTGCCCTGTCCTTTCAAGAGATGCCAAGTCCGGCAAGACCCTCATGGGGAGATCTGGGGGCATTTAGCAGGGGTTCCTGTCGTGATTGCCCATCCCTCTTTCTGGGAATGTCTATCTCCTTTTTCTTCTGGCGTCTTTTGTTTGGGGGTACATCTCATCCAGTGTTATCTGCCTGTTTATATCCTGGTTATTGAGTCTTCCTCTGTGTCTGCTTCTGTTTCCTCGTCTAGCTTTCACTCTTTCTTTTTCTCACATTCACTCTCTCCTTTCTCTCTCTCTCTCTCTCTCTCTCGCCTTGTATTCACTCTTGCTCTCTCCTACCAACTCCTCTCTCCCCTGACTCTTCCAGGCTGAGAGCCCCACCTCAGCCCTGCCCTGCAGACCTCCATGGGAACCATCTTGGAGAGAGAAGGGGTTTCAGAAGC